AGGAGCCCCTAGTAGCGTCCTTGCTCCTAGTAGTAAGGCCAGGAGCCTCTAGTAGTGTCCTTGCTCCTAGTAGTAAGGCCAGGAGCCTCTAGTAGCGTCCTTGCTCCTAGTAGTAAGGCCAGGAGCCCCTAGCTAGTAGCATCCTTGCTCCTACAAGTAGTAAGGCCAGGGGCCCCTAGTAGCGTCCTTGCTCTTAGTAGTAAGGCCAGGAGCCCCTAGTAGCGCCCTTGCTCCTAGTAGTAAGGCCAGGAGCCCCTAGTGGCGTCCTTGCTCCTAGTAGTAAGGCCAGGAGCCCCTAGTAGCGTCCTTGCTCCTGCAAGTAGTAAGGCCAGGGGCCCCTAGTAGCGTCCTTGCTCCTAGTAGTAAGGCCAGGAGCCCTAGTAGCGTCCTTGCTCCTAGTAGTAAGGCCAGGAGCCCCTAGTAGCGTCCTTGCTCCTAGTAGTAAGGCCACGAGCCTCTAGCAGTGTCCTTGCTCCTAGTAGTAAGGCCAGGAGCCCCTAGTAGCGTCCTTGCTCCTAGTAGTAAGGCCAGAAGCCCCTAGTAGCGTCCTTGCTCCTAGTAGTAAGGCCACGAGCCCCTAGTAGCGTCCTTGCACCTAGTAGTAAGGCCAGGGGCCCCTAGTAGGGTCCTTGCTCCTAGTAGTAAGGCCAGGAGCCTCTAGTAGTGTCCTTGCTCCTAGTAGTAAGGCCAGGAGCCTCTAGTAGCGTCCTTGCTCCTAGTAGTAAGGCCAGGGGCCCCTAGTAGCGTCCTTGCTCCTAGCAGTAAGGCCAGGAGCCCTAGTAGCGTCCTTGCTCCTAGTAGTAAGGCCAGGAGCCTCTAGTAGTGTCCTTGCTCCTAGTAGTAAGGCCAGGAGCCCCTAGTAGCGTCCAGTAAGGCCAGGAGCCTCTAGTAGTGTCCTTGCATCCTTGCTCCTAGTAGTAAGGCCAGGAGCCCCTAGCAGCGTCCTTGCTCCTACAAGTAGTAAGGCCAGGAGCCCCTAGTAGCGTCCTTGCTCCTAGTAGTAAGGCCAGGAGCCCCTAGTAGCGTCCTTGCTCCTAGTAGTAAGGCCAGGAGCCCCTAGTAGCGTCCTTGCTCCTAGTAGTAAGGCCAGGAGCCCCTAGTAGCGTCCTTGCTCCTAGTAGTAAGGCCAGGAGCCTCTAGTAGCGTCCTTGCTAGCGATAAATATGGTCTACAGTTCCGTCTACAGCTACAACGCTACGCTCGCCACGAGGCCTTTCCACCGGTGGGGCTCTACCACCATGTGCTCCGCCTCCGATGGGGTGCTGGCGCGGTGCCTTCGGCGAACTTGGACCAGTTGCGGGCGGTCACGTGACAGGAAGGGCGAGTGTCGAGCAACGATTTGGTGTCTCTTTCAGTGGGATTTCAAGTCTATTCAACGGAAGTATACGAAAGTGACAAGTCCATCCACCCACGGGGGGGGCCGTGTGTGTGTGTGTGTCTATATATATATATATACAAAAAAAACGCATTATAACGCGATGACAAGCGGTACCAGATTAGCATGCGGTGATTTTAGGAGGGATCTCATTCTCAGTTGCCTCACCATGGGTTGACCTTGCAAGCGCGGAGAACTGGAAGATACGACTAAGACGGAGCTGCTGGAATAGTAATAGTTCACATCGTTTCTTTTGGCCAGTCAAGAGTCTTGCGTTGATTTAGGTGGTGGATTGTGCATGTGTGGATGATGGGTGTGTTGTGTTGCATGGCTAGGGCTGCTTGTCACTTTCCCACCTATCACCTAATTTGTTGCTTGCCCAGTTTGTCCCCTGCCTCAAACCCTTCTTCTCTTCCGGCCGAGGTCCTTTTCCTGATCCTCGGGAAGACTGATCTTCTTTTGGAGGAGACCGAGTTGTGCGGTGGATTGGACGGGCCACAGGTTGCAGGCCCTGCAGTGGTGCTGGAGAATGGGTTCATGGCATGTGTCATCAACGTAAGAGTGGAAGGATCTCTTCAGAGCACCCACCCTTTGTGGATCATCCAAGATGCCACAGGAGAAGCTGGTTCCTGCCATTGCCGTTGAGGCGCCGTGACAGACACAAGCTGTATTGGTTTGTCCGAGCGGTGTTGGCTTGGCGCTGGGTTTTGTGAGTTTTGTGGAGGAGTCTTTCAGGAGTTCCTCCCAGTCAAGCTGGAATCCTTGGACCATCACAAGCCTTTTTTGTGCAGTCAAAGACTTCCCTTGACATGGTCACAAGCTTCATGTTACACATTCAATGACGTTCATCTTTAAACACGGGAATTCTCAATGAATATCATGAAGTTGCTCCAGATTTCAGCTGTCCAAAATCTGTCCAAAACAATCAATTGTTGACCCAGGCTAATTCATACCAATTCGGCAGATCGTTGGTTCGGCGATTCCATCTCGAACAAAAGCGCTGGGTGCAGCAGGAGTTCCGCCTGGCGGTGCCGCCACTCTTGGCGCCTCAGAGCTGACCGGGAGGGCGTATCAAGAGTCAGGTATGGATCCATACCAGGGTTCCAGTATGGATCCAACATTTGTGATCATTCGAGTGGTGGGAGCAGGTTAACCAAAGGCTCTAGTTTTTACAAATCCCATTACCAGAGTCGCGTTCTTCTCGATCTGGCTGTGGATCAAGATGAGCAGGTCCCCTGCCACCTTGAGTTGGCGCTGTGTGTTCCCCAAGCTGCCTTGGAGAGCAGATGGGTATGGCTAAAATTTCTATGCCTCAACCTTAACAAGAACGTATGAGCAAAACCAGTGTTTTGCTTGGTGGTTCTTATTTGTTTATTAATATGATATACGCACATAGATCTCCGCAGGTAGGCCATGACCGTCTTGAGGACATACCTAAGCGCTCCTACTCGTTCTCTGAACGATAGGTGAGCCCACAACTGTCTACGTGGTATGAGGCCTTAAACCAATTTAGGGTCCGGTGGTTTTCTTGGGATACCACATGTATTAACAAGAAGCTACTAGGAACAAGGGCATCGCTACTCGTAGGACTGCTAGTAGCAAGAACGCTACTAGGGTCTGCATGGATCTTCCACAAAAATGCAAGTGTTGGGTCCCCCCTCAAGATGGCTGCGAGGAGCGAGGAGTCGAGCGAGGGGTGAAACAAGAACACGCCATCAACCAACTGCTTGGCCTCCAACCAATGTCCCCCCAAATTGAATACCGACAAACATGATTTCATTTTTGCCCCCCCAAAAGGGTTCCTTGAGCTTAGCTGGTTTTACACAGGGTATTAAGTCGACTGTCATTGCCCCAGAGGCGGTACTCATGGAAACGACACAAAAAAACATCAAAAACCACCGTCAACCGTCATGAGGGGAGTACTTGACCAGGTTTGGAATCAGATGGTCGTCCGTGCCGTGTTGGTCGTTTGGCCTTCCCAGGTTCCCGCTGAGCACATTGTCGCAGCGGGACGATCCGACGCTGGGAGGCTGACGGCTTTGGGGTCTGAGCGGGCCATGCTTTTCACGGCGACGCTTCGGGTGAAGGACTTTGGAGGCGAAGGACGCGTCTTGGACGAATTCCTATGATAAAAACATATGAAAACAATGGAGAAGTGGCGCCTATACGAGCCGGACTCCCTTTTCTTTAGACCAAGTGAATGCCTCTCATTGAACTTTTCTGAGTCTGTTAGCCAAGACTTAAGTTATATATGAATCGTTATGAATCTGTCTTTTTCCTTTGGACACGATGCACTTGCGAGCCAGACAAGTCTGAGCCAGGAGTGATTCACAACGAGTTTTGCTTTGTCTCCCAAGGGCGTATAGCATGGTATTGCCAATGTTGGTAGGCTCCTTCCTTTCCTTGTTTTGTCATTTGCCAGCTCAAGATGCCCTTCCCTTCCCGGGTGGCTTAAGAGGTGCGAGATAAGCTTGTCTCACTTGGCTTGTTCACTGGGGGCTTAGGTTGGAGGCCATTGCTATTAGGTTGGCCATCTACGTTGTCTTTGCCAGGCCCTGCAGTTCCTTGTGCGAGTCCGTGGGGAAGGTCTGCGTGGCACTCAGTGAAACACCTCGTTCATCAGTTTACCGGTGCTACTAGGAGCAAAGGGCATCGCTACTAGGAGCAAGGAAGCTACTAGGGGCTCCTGGCCTTACTACTAGGAGCAAGGACGTTACTAGGAACAA